TAAACACAAATATGAACACACACACTTTTATTTGCCTTTGGGATACTGAAACTTGAGGATTCATTTTCAAACATTTTGCTGCAACTAAATTATGACATGGAAGAGGTTACATTCAGGAACTACCTTCATTAAGATAGTAAACAGTATTATATGATTTGGCAACATTGCTTAAAGGCATCATAAAATTAGGGGTATTGAGACAATGTTTTTAAAGAATGTCTTTTTTTTTTTTTTTTTTTGGATGACAGATTTTAAGCATTTTGCCTGAAAAGTTCTGGCATTCAGTGGCTAGATCACAGCTGAGATCAGGCTACTGTAAACTGGAAATGAAATAAGGCAAAACCAAACTCTGTCTTCCAAAATGCATCAATTATAATTATAGTCTATATATTTCTCATTTGAAAGATAGGAATTTTTGGACAATAAGATTAAAAAAATACAGAATTTTTCACTGATTGTTGCATCACCTACCAGAGAGGCTTAAAATATTCACAGTTATCAATGGCTACAGTCTCTGAAAGAACGGGGTGGGGTGAGCAGACTACTCTCATTCACCTGAACGGGGGATGCAGTAGCTGAGTGACTGTCTACTCGAACTCTGAGCTCTGCACAAAGCAAAGCAGAACTAGAAGTCAGCACCTCCACTTTTCAAGACTTAGGTGCTTTTCCCACTGGAATTCTGCTCCTTGAGGACACACAGTGAGCTAAGTTACATTAAACTGAACTATGAGTTTTGAATGCGATTTTTCCAGTACAAATGCTAGAGTCAGCAAAAGCCCTGCTATTTATCTCTTTCAGTAGAGCTTAAAAATGATGTTAATTCTATACAAATTGGCTCATGTAATTTACCCTCTCATTAACTTGGCTTAACCTTGAGTTTCCCAGTGTGGACAGGTCTACCGAGCACTCTGGGGTTGTAAGGTGCCGCGTGCTCTTATCTGACTTGAAAGAGCGCCCACTGCAAAGGTAACAGAGGGTATTTAGGGCCTTTTCCAGATTCATCTGGTGACTTGCAAAACAGACAGAGATCACTCAGATTTTTAGCAGAACAGCACACAGCTAGAGCTGCTGTGCAGGGATAGTAGTGCTACTGATAGTCCTTGAAGGGCAATTCAGCTGCTCTTTTTTCTTCTTTTTTTTTTCCCCCCCTCCATGTGCCTTTAATGTGTTCCATTTCTCTTAGTGCCAAAGCACTTTCACTTCCAGTGCCACATTTGCACAGGAAAAGCCAGAATTTGCTACACCATTGGGCATAACAGACTCTGGCACTAGAGCATGCAACTCCCACACTACTTCTATATTTGTCTAAAACAAGTACAGACAGATCAGAGAGACAACAAATTGTGATAATATAACACTAYGAATGTGCAATACAGCTCCCAAGTATTTGGAAATGCTCTCCTACCGCATGCCAGCAACCATACCAGAAATGCTGCTTTCTGGACTGGTGGGGTTGACTCTCCTTGTCAAATTCTGCAGTGTCATGTACACCTCCAAAAAGAAAAAAAGAATGGAGAGGGGGCTGGATTTCAATTTGATTTATCAGAATAGAAGAAACAAGTAAGTAGCTCCATGAGCAGCTGACGTAATGCAGAYTTATCTGCCCCTGATTTCTGATTCAGAGTTGGACTCTCTGTGGTCTCAAAATACAAAACTTTCCTGCAGCTGGGATATTCAGATTTTTTTTTTCACATGTGTCTCTAGTGAGAGGTCAACTTCTGGTGCCCCTGAAGGAACTTTGAAGGTCTTTTCCCTTAGCCAGATCTAATTGGAAATTAGTGGAATCTAGTGGGAAAAGAATGCTAAGACAGACTGACCACATATGCACTATTGCCTTAGAAAGCAAGCCGAAAAAGAATAAAGAAATGGAAAGGAGAAATGACAAAAAGTCTCTCTTGTAGACTCGATATCTCAGCTATTGAAAGTCTACATAAAGCTTGGTAGTGTACTCTGCTTTCAAAACTGAGTATATGCTCTTTTAATCATCAAGTAAAAACAGGGTTTAGGTATGCAAGATAAGTTTGTGGATAATGTGAAAGAAAAAAATTTCAGGCATACTATACCTTGAGTATTTACATTCCTGTTTTTATAATTATCTTAATTAAAGAGTAATTATTTCACTTACAGATAGGCTTATCTCTAACATGAAGCTACCTGTCTACCATTAAAAAAATTTGAAAAACACCAAAATTGCATTTTTGACTAGTTTAATGGCTGTTCTCTACTTTAAATGCTGTCTTCACCACAAGCAAAACACATTGTTACACTCACTTGGTATTCACAGAGTGTAAAAAGCAGTCACTGTGCTAATAATGGAAGCAGGATTTCCAGAAGCACAGAATTAGTCAGCTGCCAAAAATATGCTTTCACTTTATCTAAAATAAAGGACAAAAGCATAAACTGCTAATAGAGGGTTTGTCATGAAAATCTCAGACTGGCCAACAGTAAAGTGAGGACTCTCAGTCACAAACCTATGAGCTGCTTTTTCTGGCCGCGTTCTCTGCGGCTGCATCCCYGCCTAGGAGCAGCCAGGCAGTCCCGGCCCCGGGCCCTGGCCTGCGAGACCCCGGGCAAGCGGGGCAGGGTGCAAGCAGGGCTGATGTCCCCGCAGCTGAGGTGAGCGGTGACCAAGTATTCTGTCAAACTTCTACTTGCGAACAATCAAAAGCAGACAGGTAAAACACAAGGTATGTGTAGGATATATTTTTCACTTGGAATGCCAGTGTCCTGGCCATTTGCTTCCCCCTCACTCGCATCAAGCCTTAAAGTATCAATAAGAAGTGGGAAGGAAAAACACTGAAACAATCTCATGGAAGATGCTGGGTGTCTATTCTSCATGGTAAAGTAGCCGGAAAGTGGGTGGGGCTTTAAAATAGTACAGTTCAAAAAGCTTAAYTCACATATTTTAAATACCTCTTAGAACATAAATCAGGTAAAGTCTTGAAAAGATGTCAGAAGTCACAGGCAACCTGCAGTACTCACCAGGAACAACGGAAGTCATCACCAATAGTGCCATCTTTGTCTCTCCTGTATGTGCTGTTTAAGTACACATTAATTAACTCATCAACTAAGGCACCTTCTAAACCCACTTATTTTCCCAGTCTAGACAAGCCCTTTTTTATAGGTAAATGATGAACTCATTACCCGAATGCTTTACYGCTCAGCTGAGCCTGAGCTTGTTCCTGCCTCAATCAAACTAAAGGGGAGCAAGAGCTGGAGCTGGGCCCGTGACTGAGCAGGGCTGCACTTGGAGGGGCCACCTATAAAAACTACAATTTTTCTACTCAGTCTTGTACATAGTTGGTCCACTGGCAAATAATGGTTTATATGTCATGGTGGAAAGCGGTGCACTTGTGGCAAACAAGCAAAAAGCTCTGATAGAGCTTGAGCTCCCTGTACTGGGTGCAATGCAAGGTGCAGGACAAGATGCGCCCCTTCCTGAGGGGTGGCAAAAGAAGAGCACGTCCTGAATTGTGTAACATGCTCTCTGAATGTGAGCCATTGACCTCCACTGCTCCTGTCCATCGACACTGCAGGAACTTGTGTGCTTAGACAGAAGTTTCAAAGGTTATTCTTTCCACTAGTAATTTTTGGGGGGAACAAAAAATAATCAATAGTTTACATTAGGAATATTCATTTGTACTACCACCTACCTCATTGCAGGGATAGGAGCATCCGCTGCTGTGAGATGAGTCATGTTGAGTTCCCAGAGACTGCTAGTGAGGTTTTGCTGAATGTGGTTAATTATGTCATTGCTATTCAGCACAACATAGTTCCAAAAAATAAAAAAAATAAAAAATAAAAAAAAATAAAAAATAAATAAATAAAAAAAAAACCCACTATATCAGAGTATTTGCATCTTTATGCTTTTTAAACAACTAGAGCAACAAGGCAGAAAAAAAAGCAATAAAGCCATAAAAACATTGCAGTATAGTAAATAGACATTAGAGGTTCTAAAGTCGTATTGGAGCAATTGCATCATTATTAACAGTAAGATATGCAATAACATTTTACTTCTACAATTAGAGGAACATATGGAGCTTATGTGGCTTATGTACTTCCCCAAAATGAAGGGAATTTCAGAAACAGATGTCTATTATTCCATCAGATTAATCAAAAGAATCAGCTAAATATGGGCAAAGTTTTGACTCTTACTCAAAACAACGGGAAGTTTCYCCTGATTATTGGAGCTGAGGTCTCACTGTCTATGGACATAATCACAATGAGTAGGAATAGAGTCACAGAATACAGAAAATAAATAACCTGCGTGTGTAAATCTCTGCAATACACACAAAGTCCTGTTTCAGGAACAGGTTTCCTTTGTTTCTATTCTGCCCTCCAGTGGTGTAACTATGAGATAGATTAAGACAAATCAAAACAAAACACACCAACATAACAGTCTGCTTCTTTATCTGGCTAAGGTACCAACGCGTACAAGAAACAGSACTAGTCAAATCTCGAAGTTATCATATTTATTAAAAAAATAAACATTTATCTCTTATCAAAAAACAATATGTCAATAAAACAGATTTTTTGAGATAAATGCTTTAAAATAATGGGAAAACCTTTTTTCATTTTTTCCTCAACCCATTTTAAGCTCATTAACAGGCAACATCAATATAAAACTTAAAAAATCTCATGTAGAAGACAGATCTTAGAAAAATTCTCCTGAATTATATAAAAGATGCGCTACCAATTCAGCAACAACAAGTAGTTTCATGTAAGAACCACRTTCTTTGGGATTTGGCTTATTTCTGAGAAACAGAGGAGCAGCATCTTGTGTCCTTCTTGAATAGACAGTGAAGATCATCTCAAAATGCATGATGAATTCTTAACACAGTTTTTTCTTTCCAATAGAAGTGATCAAACTCTAGCCATCCCCACATACGACACCATATTCCCATTTCAGCTCCTGCCTTTCCTGGATACTTCACCTGTGGCCAACTGAATTACAATCCTCAAGATTTCCACCACGAAACCTGAAGGGGTCCGGTGGCWGCCTTGGTTCAGGCCCACATCACACAGCCTGGAACACAATGAACCAATTTTTCCTCTCAGTGTCACCAAAGTGACTGAAATAACAAAGGGTGTTTCTCTGATTTCACACAACTAACTAGAGGCAGCATTTGGCTCTAGCTGGGCATGGTAAAACATTTTGATTGATCCTTGTGAGCCATTAGGAAATGTCCTCATACCTGCACACCAACACAATTGCTGTTTTAGGTAAACGTCTTGTGCCTAGAACCAAGATTATGCAAAATACAATAAGAAACAGAGAACAATTTCCCATTCCTGTCCCACTGCATGACACACTTCTTTCCAGAGGGAATGTTTAAACATTCCCATTTAATGTTTAGTCACAGTTGTGCAGAAAAGGGGAAGGACAAAAGAGGATTAATGCTTAAGTTACTAAAAATGGTTATGACCATCTGCAAAATGAATCCCTGCATTTACTGTAGTAAGAGTGGACGTAGGTAAGGCCTGGGAAACCATGTCCATTACTATAAGTGCTCAAAAAAAATGCTGGTGTTATTTCTTCAGGAAAATGAAGGAAACACTTTTGGTTTTTAATATAACAGTAGAATTATATAATCTGCACAGTTTTTACAAATGGTAAGTGTCCTGCAAATGCCAGCTACTCTAGTGGTTATTCTTTTCTAGTCCTTCAGTGAATCTTCTTACTCATTTTATCAGAATGTCTCTGGTTCATTTCCCATCACTTAGTATTACAAAAAATAGCCTGGCATTCAGTCAAACTAGGACAGCTTTACTGATAAAGCCAGTGAGGGAAGCAAATAATTTGTCAAACCTTGCTACTCCTAAACATAAAGAGCACTGCAAATCAATACACGGAAGTGTTCTCAGTTGGATTCGGAGCACAGAGGAAAGGGCAGCACCGCGCTCACTGTCTCCAAGTTCATCGGGTGCGAGCRCATTTGCCACCATATCTACGTCTTACCAGAAAGGAAATGTGCAAGATACTRGGTAAAGCTCAAGGGTGGAAAAGGAGAATTAAGAGGTAATTTCTTGAGCGGCGCTTTCTTTAAGTGACGAATCTCATCCCCTCTCCACATACATACTGTACCCCCATCTAATCATTTAGRTAGAAATCAATACTTTCTTATTAACAAATCTCACTAAACTTAGAGTGCATATCGAAGTGTCTGTAAACATGCTAGTAAAATGCAAATCCCCTGGGAACTACTTAACTGAATTTGGTTTGCATTTCATATTAACATGCATTGTCATCATTCTACGGCATTTGTTTCTTAGGAAACAAAAGCTCAAATCATGCAAGTAATCCATTTGTTAAAAGAAATGTTCAGAAAATTTTGCTAGTGTAATTCATCAAGTAGCTTCTTTTTGTTATTACAGTTTTCTGTCTTATTACAGTATCTGGCATATCTGAACTTCGACCAACRTACAGGTAAAACCTGGAACGTTTGCCCACCTACCCACGTGAGGCTGCTCTATTGAAACCTGCCCAAGGAGGAGGCCGAGAGCCCCCACGAAGAGGGGACACCATTTCTTCTCCCTAAATCTTTTGTTACAGCAACGTGCAATACATCAGAGCTTATCACTTTTGACATCACAGAGAGTCTCTTATTGCCAGCATTCTCAGTTCACAGCCAGCCAATTAATTCTCATTCCTCCATCAGGGCAAGCACTCAAGAGTTAATAGCACGCTAAGGAACACCTTCTTAAGGAAACTTTCCATTTTTGAGATGTTTACACTCCTATTCTGAGGGAGAAAAAGAAAAACAGAACACTTTTTCTTCTGAAAGAGTGGACTTGGGCACTGAGTAGCTGAACAGTGGCTCAGGGGCTGGGCCAGCTCCACATCTGCACAGCTGCACAGCTGCACCCAAGACAGCTCATCTCCACTCTGCTTGGAGAGCTGAGAAACTGAGCTCCTGCAGCTTCCTAGGCATTGCCTCAAAATTAAATGCGTATTCAGATTTTAAGCTGTCTCTTGCTAGACAGTTACTGAGATCAAGAGATTGCAGATGAGTTCCTCTGAGTCTAGCAATAATTGAACCAAATGTAGAAAAGTACAGGGCCCTTGTCTCTATTTCAGGGTAGAGCCACAGACAGCAGCAGCTCTGGATCAAACTGGATCCAGAACATTTAAGAARTTCATCCCCTGGAATGAAATGTAAAACCCTGAGCCAGGGGCATCAGTTCTGCTTGTGGTACAGGAGTTTTAACATTCCCTGCCCACACTCAGGCAGCAGCAGAAGGAAGCTGTCTGAAGTTGTGCCTAGCTTGTAGTTACTTATAAAAAGGCAATAAAATAAAATAAAATAAAAGTTTGGTCACACCATTTATACAATCAATAACAAAAAAAAAATTAATATATGCACTTTTTTCTTTCCACTGGCCATGCCCCAAGATTTGTAGCTGTGTATTATATGAACCATAGCAGACGTTTATACAGTTTCTATTCCAGCCTCTGAAACACAAGCAACAGCTAGAGTTAAGAGTCAAGTACTTCCCCTCCAGCTTACCTTCTATCCCTCGTAGCACCCGCAAGCTTCACTGTTGAGCAAGGTAGCCTAGGAAAAGCGGGCATAGGACTGAAAAAAAAAAAAAAAAAGAAAAGAAAAAGAAAAAAAAGCAGCTTTTCCAGAAATCTCCCCTTTATATGAGGATAGTTAAGTGTGTCTCATCAGACTAAATGAGAAAGAGTGAAGAAAAGGTGCTTAGTGGATACAGGTGAATGATATATTAATGGCAGCTGAGAATTTGAAACAGCCTGCTGYGACATAGAAGTTTGACTGAAGGAAGCATCAAAGAGAGAAGGTAAAATTACATGCACAGTGGCTACAAGAATATATCACACTCTTTCAGCCAGGCATACATTCGAAAAGGCAAACTCCAGAATACTAGAAACTGAGAGAAAAAAGATCTTCTCTCTACAGATGTCGTCCATGGATGTCAGCATGGAGTACTGCAGAGCAAGGCCAACAGGACAGAGCTGCTCAGGCTCAGCAAGAAAAAAGAGATTTTGTTTTGATGCTACTGACATCAAATAATCTCTATTTCTACATTAATTAATGTAGGAATGTAATTAATGTAATTAATGTAGTAATTAATGTAATTAATACACTGAACTCAACGAGTAGAAGAGTTATTTTTAAAAGTTCTTGTGCTTCTATTGAGTTGGAGGATTGAGAAAGTAAAGTGGGACTGGATGCCTGCAATATGCTGCCATGGTTGGTGGCTCACAGGACACCACTCATTCACTTTTTAAAAATAAATAAATAAATAAATAAATAAATAAATAAAAGATAGCTTCTTTAAAATAATGTCAGTTGTGATCACAGAACACACAGAACTGGTCATGTTTCCTCTGTAAAATGTTATTTTCTTGAACAGGAAAACCACATTCATAGTGTTATTTAGTATAAATGTACTTTTCTAGGATAGACTGTAAAATTATTTCTGAAAATAATTTTGCTGAACACTGAATAACTCAGTTTCAGGTACTCAGGACCAACCTGTAAGACTAAATGTTGCTTGTCTTGGGTCTTGAACCAAAGGAGCTTTCTACTGCAGCATCACTGCATCATTGGGTGAACAAAAAATATTTGTCTGGCAGTTGGAACTAAGGCATCTATGGCTTGTTTGGAGCTGCATGGATATATCAAACATTAAAACTTACATTTTAAGGTAAGAGAAAAAGAAATTTAGTGACATGAGTGCAGATAAAGCTGTCGAAGAGCCCCGTTTAAAGGAACCTGTGATATGCCTTTGCAGCATCATCTCCTTTATACTATCTATATAAAAACATTTTGTATTCAAAACAGATAATTCTTTTTTTCATCCGAGTTCAGGCCTCCCCAAATCAGGAGTTTAGTAAAGATTACCTCTAAGAAAGAATAAAAGATATGAATCCGGATAGTATGTTATATGTACACAGAAAAATGTTTTTTGTTTGGTTGGGTTTTTTTTTAAACAGTATTTAATATTTTTAACAGTATTTAATAACCCATGCTATTAAAACGCAGTGTAATACCCCAAGACAGTTACATACCTTAGGAAAATGTGTCCTTTCTAAAGCCATTTATAATACAGCATCACAAACAGAGACCCTACAAAGAAAAATGATGCCCATTTACCTTGTGTCAGTAAAATTATTACCACGTTATATTTAGCAAATAACAGACAAAAAGTTTTAGGGTGTGAGCAGACTTTTGCAGGAACATCCTTTGGCAGCTGATTCATGGAGAGACATTGACTGTGGCCTTGGGAGGAGAAGGTTGTGAGATTAACTTTTTCCTTCTGGCAGGAGGAAGGCCTACTGCTTTGCTGATTGCAACAGAGGCAGAATAAATGACATTAGAAGAGGTTAGCAGGGGGACATTAACATATGCCAGTAGGTATCACATGCATTTACGCCAGAGAAAGATTAGGTAAGAGTTCTCATCCTGCAATGGCTCCCTGCATCTGTTCAGAGCTATAAGTCACCCTACTCTGTTCAACCTCTTCTCTCCTRCTTGGCATTAGAAAGCACTAACACACTCGAGGCGCCCGTGCCCGGTGTGGGAAGGGTGCACGGAAAGCAGCTCCTACAGCTTTGTGCTGAGGGTGCAAGCTGGGACAGACAGTTCACTGTGACTCTTACCATTACCTGCACCACACACACAAATCTGGGTTGAAATATACTGAGCAGAGAAAAGGAGTGGAAGAGAGATGATATGTGAGATATGAACAAATGTCAGTGGTTTCACTTGCCCTAATTGCCTAGCTGAAAGATACAATATCTTCCCTTTCAATTACAATCAAATGGAAATATTCTTGGGGAAAAAATAGAACTTTTTTTTTTATATATATATAAATAGAGAACTTAAAGGTCTCTATCTTTCATGCTTTCAGATATTAGATTATTTCTGGCTGAGCAAAATCATATCCAATTGCAGTCTTATCTGATAAAGTGAGATAATATACCCACATTTCTAGTCAAGTGTTTCTTTCCCTGGAGCATTGCAATGCAGCCTTTTGCCTTAATCAATATATCACAAAGACACATTGCAGTTCCAAAGTTACTGAGAAGTAACAGGTGACCTTTTTTGCCTTGAGCTTATGTATTCAAGAGGGGACTAAATGACGCACACAACAGTCCAGATTAACTAGCTGCTGTTGCACAGCGTGTGCGCAGACTGATTATAAAACTCTTGACTCACCAGCTTCTGCAGCACAATCTTACAGAATATCTGCCAAGGCAGCAGAAGCAGGCAACAAAAAGTAATCATTGAAATGAAAAGTGGTTGTTCCTTCAAACAAAGTTTCACATAKGTATGTATGGAAAGAGAGACTGAATTAGGGAGATGTAATTGTTGCTAGGTTTTTTATAGATAAATAAAATCAGCTCATTTCTGCAAAGCCATATTAGACTGGTAAGGTCCCACATCTGCAAGAAAACTCCCTTCCCGTCCCTTTGCAATCAGCTGACAGAGTTGGTTTATTGCTATTTCAATCACAGACAGCTRTTCACAGGAGCGCCCAACAGCTTTGGCCCTGCTCTATAGGAATGTCTTTATCCATAAGAAGTGTGCAAATTAACCTTAAGCAAAAAGAAGAGTAGAAATAAAGGGCTCACACCTGGTTTCGTATCTTAAAACAGAGAGGGGGMTACCTTCCTGCTCAGATTTAATCCTGTAATGCAAAGCACTGTCATGAAATCAGTTACTCATGCCCACAGACAGGCCTTCAGAGCCATGAAAACAGCTCAGAATTAAGCAAAAGGACTGGGCAACATCCCAGTAACAATATAACTGGCTTCCCCAGGAGCACTTGGTTCCCATTGTTTCCTACTGGTATTTTCCATCTGCTTCCTAAGTGTTTACATCTTCCCTTGGACCCAGCAGTCTCRTCAGGATACTCAAGTAATAGAGAAGCATGATGGTCAGGAAGTGCAGAGCATGGAGGGTGACAGACTACAATGGCTTGGAGAGATGTCCTGGGCCAAGATACGCAGTGCACAGAGCTCATAACTTGCCTGCAATTAAGATAGTACTTAGGTAAATAAGCAGGTCCACTCTGGAGAAGCAGAGCCACAACTGCCTGGGAAGAGCCATCAAGTCAGGGCCTCCTAAGGAAAGCTTAGGCCACACACAGCTGAGGCCAGTGAACATGCCCAGATGAGCAGCTAGGAAAGGACTACTTTATCTCAGGTTTATTTATTCATTTAACATAGAGATAGATGTTTCCTTGACTGATAGAGATTTACATCACAAGGTGGAACTGGGCCAAGGGCTTTATGTGTTTTCCTTCCTTGCAATGCAACTGAGCATTTCTCAGAATAGTGACTTTTCTCAGAACAGCCTCTTGCTTTAATAGCATTGCTACTCTAACTACATGTGGAATATACATTCTTGCCCACATTTACGTCCAGTAGAAATATTTAGGGTACTCTTTGAAGCCTGAGTTCTCAGTCAAGAAAGGGAATGCTAAAGACTATTCTAATAACCTTTTAAAGAAGAGATTCTGAAAAAATATAAGTGGCTGTAGTTGGTCCAGCTCTCTAATTGCCTTTTATCCTTCTACAAACTTTCCTCAACAAAGTTGMGACTGCCCTTGAAAATGGGCTGAGGAGAATAAGCAGCAGAAGGGTTTGAAAAGAGCCTACATTGAAAAATTAACACACTTTCAGGGATGATGGCCAGGATCTCAGTAGAGGAAGGAAGTACTCACCACACAGTAGGTCTCTAAGAGGTCACAGAATCTGGTTTCACTACAAGAGAGGTGGTTGGCAAAGTCAAATATGCTCTACCTTCTGCTTTTATTGACTTTCTAGTTCTTCCTCTTGTACCAGATCTGAGGCTTGCCTCAGAAGGAGGATAAACAGGCAAATGCTTGATGATCTGATGATCTTTGCTGCTTAACTTTCAGTGCGACTGAGGAATTTCTCAGAATACTCACTTTTCTCAGGAAAGTCTACAGCTTGAACAGATGATGCATTGCATTGCTATCATAGCACGTGGGATGTAGCTTCCTATCCACACAAGTCTGAGCCTATCAGCTCATGCTAAACACATCTTAACTACTGAATACAGAACAGAAATCCTCTGTGAAGAGATGATCAGTTAAAATCAAGACCTGAAAASTGCACAAACAAGGACAAATTAAAAAGTATTTGATTGTGTCCACTGTTGTCTGTTTTTCAAGGGGACAAGCAGCAACCCCCTTCATAAAACAGGCTTTGGCAATGAGTAGGTGCCAGATCTAGTGCTTATAAGGGACAATTCACAGCCTACTATTTCTYCTAAGAGAAAATAGGAGGGATCTTTGGCAAGGGGAGCTGGAATAAAAACAGTATATGGAAATGCATGGCAAAGAGAGAAATTAACTTACACTATTATAAAGGAAATTGGATTAATTGTTTACAACTGGTTATGATTTATTTTTAATGATCCAAAAGACAATGATCTTGAGTGGAACATACAATCCCATATATATCAATGTCCAAATCCCTTTCACACCCTTTCCTATATTTATAATTAAAAAGGAAGTCTTCTAGTGACATGCCTCAGAAAGAATGAGATATTATTTAGGTAAGTTAAATAGCAGTTTTAAGTCCTCCTAGAGAATAAATTATGATCAAAGGTCATATTCATCAGCAGAATAGAATGAGTGAAATTCTTTGGCTCTATTATCCATTTGAAAGTTACTCATGTTTATCTTTGCCAAGTGTCCCAACAAATAAATTGTGCTTTTTCATATAGATGCCGAGAATTCATGTTTAATGGTAATTTCACAGTATTATTTTAGTTCTTTGTTGAGATGAGCAGACATCCTACAATAACAGTACGGTGGTACAGAGCTGTGGTTTTAGGGATGCTAATAAAAGAAGAGCGACTTCAGACATTGAATAGGATTTTCAAAAAATAAAACAAAAATTAATATCAGCCCAATGTTGGCCTGAGTGAAGTCAATAGAATAATTGGATGAGTGCTGAATGTGTGCAAGAACGCACCTGATCTAAACCCAAGGACTTGTCAAGGAGCTTTCTCAGACAGCTCTAGCCCTCGTTAATGGCATCTGATTGGAGAGCGTGCACACAGTTCCTGTGGCAGTGTACACAGTGTAGGTAGCCAGAAGCCTAACTRGACAAGTAACTAAAAGACTTCAAAGCAGTTTAATGCTTTGGCACTCAGACTTTGTCTTAATTACTACCATGAGCATCTATGACACTACGTCATTTCAAATATTCATGAATRACTAGTCCATTTCCATCTCGGAACCTTGTACAAGAGCTTTCCAGTCTGCACTCCTAAAATCTAATTTCATTTTACTTCTTAGGTGCTGAATTTCTTACCTGAGGTTGTTTTTGTTGTTGTTTTGATGCTTCTAATGTGTGCTGAATTTCAAAAACTTCTTTAAGTCTTTTGAGCACTGCACTTCTCTGGAYTTCTCAGTCTAATAACTGAAAAACGCAATGAAGAAAAGTGACACTGACAGTGTAAACACCTCACTCCTTTTGCATGTATGGATCTGAACATTAATTAAATGTATTTTTTGCTTCTAGTTTTTACCTTTCTCTTGCAGACACAATCTAAATTATGTTACTGATGTTTCTACATATTATATAAACAGTTCCACATTTGTCTAGAATTTTGTTTCTTGTGTAGTCAGCTGCTTTTTATCCATATGAGATAACCATTTCCGCTATGTAATAGCTCCTGCCACTCTCACTCTGGTAAAAGATGACAAAAGCTCAATAAAACTCTTGACTACCCCGGAGAATGCAACTGGGAGAGCAGCCTGCTGGGAACACACGGGACAGAGCTTCCCCTCACATTTGGGCCCCTCATTGTAAGGCCCAGGTTTTGACTATTGCCATTTGAAATGCCTTGGAAGTGACCTACCTACGCTGCAGTGTCCCCCTGCCCCATGGCTTCTGGACTAAGCTGCTGAACTCTCTGATTTTGTGTGTGTGTGTGTGTGTATACATATATATATATATATATATATGTATACATATATACATATATATGTATATATGTATACATATATATATATATAAAAGATACCAACAGGTAGCTTCATGTCGCAGATCACCGGCAGCATCAGGAAAAGAGTGCAGCCCTCCCCTATCCCAGGGCAATATGAGGCTTATAGAACTAAGCAGGCACTTTCAAACTAAAAAGTGCCAAGGATCTCCTTACTGATGAAATGGACACTACATATTTGCAGTCTGCARTAGCTTTGACCTCACATCATTTTGAAGAGATGTACTTTTGCTTGACATAAATCTGAATAAAGATTGACTAAATGCTGAAGCATATTGGCAGGTGAGCAGGTACTGTCGGGGTGTGCAGCGTGCCTGGGATTGTCCCTCTCAGAAGGACTCTTGAGATCTCTGACATGGCCAGATTTGCCAGCCCACGACGGCAACGCGCGCCCACAGGTCACATCTCGTGCGCAACACCGTGACCGACACGCGCAAGCAGGACGTATCAGTCRTCCTGCATGAGCTGATTTCAATTTTAAAGTTTACAGTGAAAGTTTCCTTTAGAAATACCTTCTTTTTCCCCATCACTGTTTTCATTTGTTAAGGAAAAAAAATGGATACGGAGGTCAGCAGTGCACTTGGCACACACCTCCGGCCCGGGACGGATGCAGCGTGTGGAGCACTGAATCACAGCCCTGCTCTCACAAGACTCAGGCAGCCCCAAGCCCTTCAGTCCCAATGTCTGTAGSGCCAGGCTTGTTCACACAGAATTAATGCTCCTGTGCTCACATGGGTGCCTTGGGGACGTGGCCAAGGATGAAAGTATCTCCAAAGACACAAAATGGCCCAGTGAATCAGCACTCCAGCATGGTTTCTGTCCAGACTTTCACCTAATCCTGCCTTTTGGGGAAGAATGTGTTTAAAACACCTTCTCTCTAGGCTCTGAGCCCTCACATTCTTCTCTTGGCCTCCTGCTCACTCTCCCCAGCTGGGCTGGGTACTTTCATTGCACATCCCAGCTTCTCAGCATTCCCAAACCCAACACGCCACCCGTATGCCTGGCTCTCCTTGGCCTTTGCACCAAGCCCACGGTCTGGGCAGGTTGCACGCTGAGGCCTGGACACCACAGGCAGCCTCAGAGAGTGGCATCACCCCTGGCCTGCTCCCGCCATAGGAGACACCCTAGAGAGCAGGGACGGGATGTAAGGGGGGGACACACAACACCCTAGGGGAGGGCACAGCACATTGAGGCCCCCCCCAATGGTACCTTGGGGTCATCAAGGGGGGACATCAAGTGTTGAGGGACAACATAGCAAGTTAAGAGGGTTCCTGGTGGGACACAGTRCATCAAAGAGGGACACTGCGCTCTGAGGGATAAGGCACCATGCCAAGGGGATGCTGCGTGCTAAAGGCAGACACAGTGTGTTGCGGGGACAAGCTATGTATGTTGGGGGAACCATACACAGGACACGGGCCTATCTGCCCCGTCCAGGTGCCTTCACAGCACCCCATGGTACCAGGACCATGCTAGCTCTACAGTGGTCCCTTCCTTGGTGCAGCCTGTACACGACCATCCCAGCCAGTGTCCAGCTACTGGTCCCCAGTGCTGAATCCTGGTCTGAGCTCCTGGCTCCTTCAGGGGGCTCTTTTGCTTCACTTTCTCTCAAACTGGCTCTCCAAGGCCCAAAAACATCAGGTTAAAAAAAAAGCGCCTTACAGGAATATATATTTTGAAGTTCTAAAATTCTCATCTTTGGTTAAATTCCCTTTTCTCTTAAACAAGAATACCTAGTCATGTGAGCTGCAAGCAGGCTGTCCTAACATCATTTGTAAGGAAATTCCTGGGAATACCCTGTAAGGCCTTAATGATTTTTGCAGACAAAATACAGAGAGGGTTGCCTGTAAGRACACTAGAAACCACTAGATGTCACCGTTATTGCACAAAAATCCAGCACATCTCGGGCATGTTTCCACCGAAGACACGGGTGTTTGGAGACAAGCTGCTGTCATCATACGCAGGCCTGGTGTTAGAGATGAGCAGCTGTGCAGAGACATTTGTCCTCCTATGAGTCCCAGCCAAGGGGCAGATGACCCCATTTGAACATCTCTGTAAACCCTAGGCGCACGGTTGAAGGTGTCCTGGTAGCTCGGCCCAAAGCTAGGGGTGCCTATGGATGGCTCTACTCAGGAGGAAGGAGATAGGACCTTGGGGAGATCAAGTTTTCAGGTCTATGAGGAGGCCACGAGCTGATTTTCATTCTCAAGTACAGGTGCTGCGCTTTGAGCTGTGAAATACAGGGGTGTCTGTAAGCAGCTACAGCAATGTGCACCTAAAAAGGAGTCAAGAGCCAAATATTTCTATTAATGGGAGTAGATATATGGAAATCATGTTACTAAAASAGAGCCAAGGGCCTCTCCTCTATTTGCTTATACCATTGCTCATGAGGAGCAACTCTGTTCACATCAGTGAAACAACACTGATGTCAAACTGGTAAGAGAGAACTGGCCACGAAGATTGGCAGCTTTTCTCCTTTAGGCTACACTTCTATGATTTAGCTAATTGCTCTGCTTCCTAGCCTCCCCTAAAGAATCCTGATTGGCTCCACATTAATTTGCTGAAAGGCAGAAATCTAGTAAAAATGTAAATTTTCCCTTGCTAACAGCTGGAGAACCAAAATCGATTTTAGCAGCTTGCTGAGTAATGAAATTAGTGGGCTCACAACTGATGGCTAGTTGCAGGACAGAACCGAAGGGCAGCACCATCTCTCTCATCCTACCCCCAATGCAGACATGCTTCAGAGCACGACTCAGCACTACCAGACCTGTCTTCTTAATCTTAAAGRATTCTTCTGTAAAATGGAGATGCAACACTAAATCATAGGCAGGCCAGCTTCCCCAAGTTAGGAGCTTCCCCAAAGGAAGATAAGCTATCATACCTGTGCAGGTGTCTCAGCCATCTGCACAGCTCCCATTTATAGGACCCGGCAATAGGAGAGTTTCACTGAAATAATTAGCTGTCCTCAAGAGGATCAGCTACGCTCAACCTGAGAAGATGCCAGAACTGAGTTAGCCCCAAAGTTAGTGTCCTCATTTCAATTTTAGCTGATTTCTTTTAGAAGCAACAGGACAATCCTAACCTGCTGTTAGCCAGTATTGAGCTCTGTTGCACATCTTCAGGGAAGACACGTCTTCCCCAGCAGACCTGCCAACACCACCGATTTGGGCAGCAGTTAGTGCTCATCTGCTGACTGATAGACAACTATTTCATATCTTATAGTCACATCATTTCCAAAAAGCTCTAAAGCAATACTCCTCCCTAGGACAACTGATAGGAGGAAACCAACTCTGAGAATCACCTCGCAGCTATCACGGAACTTCCTATTGCCACTGACTTCCTATCCTCCATAAAGTTCATGGAAAATAAAAAATAAAAAAAGGAATTTGCTATTCAGCAGCCATCGCACTAGTCTGCAATTAAGGATTCGCCTGCAGTCACTCAGAGCTATAAACAGAAAGAGGATGAAATTATCCACTGATCAAAGACAACGGAGTTGTCTCCATCACTGATTAAAGATCCTTTTTTGAAAAGCAGACCACTGCTTTGCAGGTATTAAATTACTGATGCCCTGCTACTAGATAGATGCATTTCCTCTATAAAAGGGCAGATATATAATGCTGATATTTTAGCCTGTAATTTCCAGTTTGCGAAACTGTAAGATGAACACGGGCAAGTCCCCGTCCCTCTCCGAAACAAGTGGCCTAGAAAGTCAACAAATATCTTCGAYTCGTTATTATATCACTTATTCCCTTTTACCCAGAGAATCCTAAAGCCAAACAAACAAACAAAAAACAACAACAACAAAACATAAAACCTCTTAACTGTTGTACAGCAAAGCTGACCAGACCTCCAGCAGAGTGGGATGGAGGACTGTGAAAGGAATCTGGAAAYGCCTCCAAGGCCAGAGAAACAAATCTGCCTCATGCTTCACCATTACTATATGACCTCAATTAATTGAAGAGGCAGAAGATGACAAATGATTTTATCCCTAGTGAAACTGAGAAATTGCATTTTTCCCACTATCCATTTTCTTCCCCTTTCCAAGGGTCATGTTCTACGTTGCCTCTTCATTGCTGCCAATTTTCAGCTTCGAACAGCAGATGATCCCTTTAAAACATCAGCCAGAGGCATGTTGGAAACAGGGCACTGACAGAGCAAGTCTCAGACAAGGCTGCAGTCTGGACTTAGCTCTGGTAGGAAGATTTGATATTTTTAAGAGAGTTTATATTTTTAAGGGATTATACATTTTGTGTGGTTCAGGCTTTGGAGCTTGAGACTTCTCAGGTGGGTCTTGTCTATGAGGATCAGTGCTCAACATTTATCAAAAGGTYGCTATCTTTAGAAGCATCTCAAG